CACCATAGGCTACAATCTTGTTTAGTTAGGATCTACCAGGACTAGGTTGGGTGGTAGTACAAGCAGGGTAAAATTGTCCAGGAAAAAGAATTCTCAGGAGCACTGAACATGCTGCTTTTCTAGTTGATCTGAACGATACTTTAGGATCACTGGAGCTAAGCCCTGCTAGGACCAACCTAGTAACTGACACTCTGGGGTTTAGTTCAGGAGTTTCAAAGCAAGAGCACTGTGGTAAACCCCAGCCCAAATCTGTTGAATGCTAGGAAGAGCCCACACTGAGGGCCTCTGGTAGGACTGGAGTTCAAAGCAGTGGAAACAAGATTTGGGGAACACATATTATGTGCTCAAGGCCACAATTCTGAATAGCCTTGTGGTATCTGTAGCTATCCTTTGGAGTTCATGGTACATGGGTATGTCGAGTGGGTTAAAAGACTAAAAGCAAGTTCAAGCTCGAATTGATTTGGGAGGTTAAGATAAAATTCCATGCTGGGTTTGGGTTTAGAAACTGTCAGAAGCACTTTTGTTAAAAGCTACTACATAGCAGGGCAACATGCCTTCCCTAGTTGCCTGAAACAACTCACCCTTACCAGTTTGAAAAAGATGGACTCAGGACAAAGAGTTGTTAAGAGGGACCTAGTTACTTCTCTGGAGTTCATAAACAGCTTACATGATTTCTAAATTAGAATACCCATATAGTAGATGCACTTTTATGACTCGATCTAATTATTTAAAGTATGTTTCACCATATTTTATATATGGGGTATGATTGGGGTCCACATTCAACTTTGTGAAGAAGTGCCAGACCACCTCTGTGTCCCTCAGCAACAAGATTTTTGCTCCCCAGCATCCTTGGCAGCATCTGTTAATGACTTTTTGTGCTTAGCCATTTGGACAGTTATTAATAATGTTTCTCCGTGGCTTTAACTTACATTTCTCTCTGACATGTTGCTAAGCATGTTTTCATGTGTTCATTGCCCATCCACTTACCTCCTGGGGTACATCTGTCCAAACCCTTTGGCTACTTTTAATTCAAGCTACCTTCTAGCTGATTTGTAAGATTTGTTTATTTATTCAAGACACAGGACTTTACCAAGTACATGAAATAACTATGTTTCTTCTACATCTTTTCCCAGAAAGTGTGAATTCTCTGTATCCAGAGACCAATGGACACAAATAGAGTGACCACTTACCTATAAAACTGCAGCTTTACTGGGGTGCTTGTAAATCCTTGCTTTTGCCGGAGAGATTTCATCTGTTTCCAAGTCTGTAAAACACTGTGCAGTAGGCAGTGGTCCTTTTCCCTTTCTGCCTCATACAGCCGCTTTGTGTCACTGTGAAAATAATTGCAGACCAAGAATGGTCTGCTAGGTTAGAATTGTAAGTTGTAGAAGTAACCATCTTATTCAATAAGAAACACAGAACCAATGCAAAGAAGAAAGCCAAGAGGTCAGAGCTATCAGCAAGCCATAGCGAAAGCTGGGCAGTGGTGGTGCACGCCTTTAATCCCAGCACTTGGTAGGCAGAGCTAGGTAGATCTCTGTGTGTTTAGGGATACAGCCAGCATTGGAGACACATGCCTTTAATTTCAATACCAACCATAGAAGACCTGGAGGTCTGTACAGACAGGCAGTGACGAGGCGGTCATGTGGTTGGGTTTACAACCACTGAGAAGGCAGAACAGGAAGTCTTTATAAAGGCAGACACACAGGAAGTAGGTCTCTTTCGGAGAGGTAGGACCACCGTGAGAGGAAGGGTAAGGTTTTTAGCTCTTAGCTCTGACCTCTTGGCTTTCTTCTTTGCATTGGTTCTGTGTTTCTTATTGAATAAGACAGTTACTTCTACAGTAAGTCACCTGGAACACTGCAGAAGAACACACTGGACTGAACCGATCTGGTCCTCCTACTTGACCCACATCTGGACCCTCTATCTTAGGATGCATTTCTTTTATCCACAGAAAACCCAGTAGAAATGGACTCTGCAAAGGTTTTTATCACTATTCAAAAGCACTCTGCTAAAATGGGCTTTCTGGAAAAGGGGAAATCTCAAGCTGAGGAGTCAGAAAGATCCAAAAGGAACTGACAAAAGATGCTGGAAGAAAGGAGTAAAGAAAGGGGCTGGGAGCCCTGGCATCTTAGTGATGTTTCTGCTATCTATGTGACACTTCAATCATTTCCGGTTGGTACTCTACTATTTATGATCAAACAGTGTAAACCAGTGAGTGCTTTTATTCGCTCTGATACAATGGTGTCCTCCCATAAGTTTTAAGTTCTATTTGAGCAGCCCTGCAGCCACGAATTTAGGAACAATTCAGATATTTTCAGGTCTCAGAATCTCCAGAGATTTTGATGAGAAGTAGTGATGAGGATAATCCAGAGTATCAGTTACTTCTAGGAAGGTGCTGGGGAAAGACTATTATTATTTAAAATACTTGAGGGTAGAGAAATACCATTCAGTATTCAACCTGTATCATCTCCATGGTGGAGAGAGTTCACTCTCAAAAGTCCTTTTATTAAAACCCACCACCCATGACCATGGACCTAATCAACTTTAAAGGCCCCATCTCCAAAAACAACCCATTTGGATACTCCAAGGATGGTACTGTTAAGTGACTAGATCATCAGGAGTCTAACTTAACTAAAGGATGGGTACATAATCTGTTTGTACCACTGGTAGGTGGTGGGGCCTCGCTGGAGGAAGTAGGTCACTTGAGCATGACTTAAATGGCTCCATCTTGCACCTAGACCTTCCCCTTTCCTTTCCTCTCTTTCTGCTTCCTGTCTGCATGCTGTTAGGTCAGTATCCTCCTCTGACACATTCTCCTGCACCGTGGCTTCAAGCTTCTGCAGGTCTGTCACAACCTTTTGGAGCTCCTATGATGAGTGTCAGTCTAAGTAAGGGCTCTCGGGTCGCCCAGTCTGTGATTTTCTGTTTCACAGTCTCAGCATGTCCAAGCTCTTATCTCTAAGTTCACTGACTTTTCTGTCTGCTCAAACCAACTTTTAAAGCAAGTCCTCTTTCCTTTCCAGTTACTCTACTTTCCAGCTCCAGACTTTCTCTTCGGAAAGTTTGCCAAGTTTTTCATCAAGAAACTTTTCATCAATACATATTTAAACCTACTAGTGTTTTCTCATGGTAGTTCTATGAACTGTTTTCTACACAAACATGAGTCTTCAGGAAAGACTGGCAACGTTTCTGTAATCTCTTAAAGGGTAGGAAGTTCTATTTTTCAAATTGTATAAATCCCAAAGGAAGCACAGCATGTCGTCTAATCTGCTTAATAAATGTGTGATGTATGCAGGACTCATTCAAAACTTACCTTATCTGCCAATAATAATCTTGTAACGATTTTCTGGTGAGTTGGTTAGTTTCTGGGTTTTTGCTGGCTAGTTTGGTAGTATCCGTGAGTGCTTTCAGCTGCAATCAAGAAAAGAATTTTTTGCTCTATTTCAGACACAGGTGACTGCCACTTTAACTCATCTGCAGAGACCTAAGTCCAGATGTGTGCATCTGAATCACACGAGTGTAGTTTGTCCTACCTTTCACAATTTAGTAAGTGTTTAGTAATGAAAACAAGGTAAGACTAGACCAACATGTGAGTGGAAGAGATGGTCCTTATGCACATAACAGTGCATAAATATATGCAGCAGACTACAGTAAAGACAGTTCTTCAAGTCAGCACAGAAATGGCGGTGGTAGCCACCGGGATCACCTTTGGAGACAAAACATCAAGTTGGAGCTGAATTTTATTCAAGATATAGCCATAAGTTACACATAGAATAAAAGGCTAGAAGTTACACACACATATCATAATAATACATGGAAAAGTATCTATAATTTGGTCTGTCAAATGCCAGACACTATCAGTTTCCATTAAATGATCTTTTTTTTTTTCTTTTTTGTTTTACGAGACAGGGTTTCTCTGTGTAGCTTTGTGCCTTTCCTGATCTCGCTCTGTAGACCAGGCTGGCCTTGAACTCACAAAGATCTGCCTGCCTCTGCCTCCAGTGTGCTGGGATTAAAGGATGATCATTTTTCTTGGTTAATAGAATAAGGATTGATCTGTAAGACTATAATGTGGAAATATGTGACAAACAATGATTTCAAACAGCTTATTTTATGTACAGGGCCATTAGTATGAACAATAAAGATAAAGCTGCCCTGTAAATGTATTAGTAGGCAGTACTCTATGGAGATAAAAATTATTGTTGCTACATAAGGTTTTAAAGATGAGATAATTTCAAAGGCTTTCTAGCCCCAGCTTGCAAAAGGAATCCAGCAATATCTCCACATTAAATAGGAACCAGGCATCATCTTTGTATGATGAGGAGGCATGGTCCTGCCCAGCACCATGGCAGACTAAGCAGGCCAAGAAATCCCACATGCAGGCCTGGGGCAGTCCACCTCAGGCTCTGAGGAGAAAGCACGAGCCCTCTCAGCACCTTACGGCGACAGGCAGCCGGACACTACTATGGTGATGTGTATGTATGGTGAGGTATGGTTGCCTGAAGATCAGAGGACAGAACAAGCCACTAGATTAAACATAGAGGCCAGGCAGTGGTGGCACACACCTTTAATCCTAGCACTCGGGAGGCAGAGATCCATCTGGATCTCTGTGAGTTCAAAGCCACCCTGGACTACATGAGATTGACTCAGTCTAGGAGAGAAACAGAGCCAGGCAGTGGTGGCACACACCTTTAATCACTATACTTGGGAGCCACATGCCTTTAATCCTAGCACTTGAGATCTCACACCTTTAATCCCAGTATTTGGGAAGCACGCACGCCATTAATCCCAGCACTAGGAAGGCTGAGAGGAGAAAGGTATATAAGGCGTGAGAAGACAGGAACTAAAGGTCTTTCAGCTAGAGGCTTTTCCGGCTGAGGAATCCTAGAGGTAAGATGTGGCAGTGGCTTGTTCCTTTGTCTCTCTGATCTTCAGGCAAAGTTTATTAGGGTACACAATATATGACCACAGTATGGGAGACAGAGTGGTTCATGCCCTGTGGACAGGGGCAGATCTGAAGAGGTGAAATAGGTGAGGAGCAGGCTGAGGTGGGTGGCTTGATTGTCACCCAGGGCCATGGTGATGTCTGGGCCTGGGCTGCTGCCAGGGCCCATGTCTGGGTTCATGGCTCTGATGCAGTGGCCTTTCTGTTGATGTCTGTGGCTCGTGACACCATTGAGGGCTGAGAGGGTAGGGCTGTACAGAATTGGCCCCACCCCTCACTGGCTGAAGCACTCAGGAGAGAGGGTCCTACACCTCACCTGGACAGCACAATAGAGCTGACCCTGAGGACATATAAGCAGGAGAACTGGCCCCACCCCTTGCTCATTGATTCAAGCGGTGAACTGGCAAGGGCAAAGCTGGAGACCTCACCCTGGTGGTGAGTGAGGATGGGGGAGAGCTGGCGGGCTGGCCAACTCTGCAACTACCGGCCCAGAACCAGAGTGATGAGCTGGCCCACCCTAACTTCCACCCCATCCATGATCTGCTGGAGCACGTGTAGGGGCTAGTCCTGCAGACCCAAAGCTGCAGGATCTCCAGGACACAGGGCAACAAAAGGATATCCGAGAGGAGCTCCAGTGAGGGCCTAGCATTGATTGTGTAGCAGAAGCAGAGGCCTCAAAACAGACCAATGACTCTTTGCAATGAACACTTGCAAGTAAAGATATATGGAAAAAGGGTTTACTGCCTGGCTCACACACACACACACACACACTATATAGATATATATATCACACTATAGCTTCCATGATGAGATTTTTCCTTTTAAATTTTATTTCATTCTGGGGGGTGGATTACAAGGACAGAGGGCAGATATGAAGGAATGAGGAAATGAATGGGATTGAGATGCATGAGGTGAAAGACACAGAGAATATATAAAAAGAAAGTTTAAAAAAAGAGATGAGATTAACATTTTGCTAGATACATCATATAGAGCAGAAACCTGTAAATAAAATTACTCTCAGGGGCCTGTATCAACTTCAGAATCAGCTCCTCTGTGCATGAACATCATGATCACACTGCACTGAAACTTAGAATTTTTGGTATTCATGGGGACTGTTCTCATGTTACTAATCTATTTACCCCTTCTATTAAATTCTCTCACACAATCAATAATATACAATTCAAAGAGATGAACCAAGTTCTAGGATTTCTGCACTAGTATTTTTTTAGAGAGGGGTTTACTATCAATCCCAGACTGATCTCAAACTGAAAGTAATTTCCTCCCTCAGCCTCCCTGAGCTGGAATTAGAGGTGTGTACCACCACGGCAGGTTACACTTGTATCTAACAAGCAGACATTCATTAAAGTACAGTTCATATACAACTTTTTGAGATGCCTGCTGGCTCTATCAACATTTCATGGTTAGTGAAATACTACACTATTTCATTTCAAGCATATTCAGTTGAATGAGACCTACAATTTTTTTTTCTCTAAGAGAACATTAGTTAACAACATTCTTGGGTACCAGGGATCCAAAGAAGGTTTAGGTGAGAGATGGCACCATAATCTGTGGATATATCTCTGATGCTTCTTCAGAATTTATGACTCTCTTCATGATGTCCACAGATAACTACTTAGATTAGCTATCCTCAGAAGAAAATTGTTCAGTTTCACAGGAGGTTCAAGAATGCTATTTATTTTAATACAAAATGCCAAATTACAAGATTTAAAAGTGGTGCCTCTTAAAGCCATTTGTGGTGATTTGAAAGCCATTTGTGGTCCCCAAAGTGGGTGGCACTATTAGGAAGTGTGGCCTTGTTGTAGTAGGTGTGGTCTTGTTGGAGGAAGTGTGTCACTGTGAATGAAGGTGGGCTTTGGGGTTTCAGATATGCTCAAGCCACACCCAGTGTTTTAGACCACTTCCTGTTGCCTGTGAGTCAAGATGTAAGAACTCTCAGCTCCTTCTCTAGCACCATGTCTGCCTGCATGCTGCTTGCTTCCCGTCATGTTGATAATGGATTAAATCTCTGAACTGTAAGCCACCCTAATTAAATGTTTTCATTTATAAGACTTGCTGTGGCCATGGTGTCTCTTCACAGCAATAGAAACCCTAACTAAGACACCATGATAATTTCAAATGCTCTTCTTGTATCATAGGGCCAAAAGTGGCACTGACTAGTGGATGCTTTACTATTGTACAAATCCTAAATGGTCTTATAATAAAAACCCAGAGCCAGATGTTGGGATAAATGCCAAAAAGATCAGAGAAACAAAGGAACAAGTCACTGGAGAAACTTCTCACCATTACTGAATCCTCAGGCCAAATGGAAAGCAAGATCCTATCTCCATGAATCCTCTAAAAGCCTCTGAGTCCTCAGCCTAAAAGGGGCTCTAGTAATTCCTGTCTCCTCACGCCTTATATGCCTTTCTCTGCCCACCCATATTACTTCCTTCCTAGTGCTGGATTAATGGCATGTGTGCTTCCCAAATACTGGTAGCAACGGCATGAGATCTCAAGCACTGGGATTCCCAAGTTCTGGGATTAAAGGTGTGCGCCACCACTGCCTGGCCCTGTTTCTCTCCTAGACTGAGTCAATCTCATGTAGTCCAGGATGGCTTTGAACTCACAGAGATCCAGATGCATCTCTGCCTCCTGAGTGCTAGGATTAAAGGTGCGTGCCACCACTGCCTGGCCCTGTTTCTCTCCTAGACTGAGTCAATCTCATGTAGTCCAGGATGGCTTTGAACTCACAGAAATCCAGATGCATCTCTGCCTCCTGAGTGCTAGGATTAAAGGTGTGTGCCATCACTGCCTGGCCTCTGTGTTTAATCTAGTGACTGGCTCTGTCCTTTGATCCTCAGGCAAGCTTTGTTTTAAACACAATATATCATCACACCTTACCTGTGGCAAATGTCCTGTGGGGCAGGCTTGAGGCTGTCTCCTCAGCAAGCCAAACCTTCCAATTTGTTCTCAGACCACTGTTCTAACAGGTTAAACCTTTAAGCACTAAGGGAGAATGTTTTCTGTTAGCTGTTCTATTCCAAGAGTGTCCTCTTCCAGTATTAAGTGTGGGGGCCCCTCACCTTCTCATAGAGCAGCTGAGATAAACTCTGCTTCTGCCTGTCCTGGAAAGACTCACAGAGCTGGAGCAGCCTGGCACACAGGACTTGTTCTTGATTGAAGAGTGGGTGATGGCTGAATTGCAAGCCCACGATGTTAAGATCCAGTTGGTACATTTCCCTTTGACCATCCATCCTGTTCCTAAAACAGCATCCCAGGTCAGGCTTCACTGCCTTTTAAAGAAAAATATGTCCAAGTTCATTTCATTCTGTTGCCTTTGAGACCACAAAAAACCTTCCCTTATAAAATAACATACCAGGTGCATTTAAATTCCAGAGCTTCAGAACTATAAGGGCAGCAAGTGGTTATTCATCTTTGAAATTTTATATTACACTTTCCTTTTTATTACAACACCTTATTTTAACACAGAATCTTAGTCATCATGCTGTAAATTATAGTCATCTGTGTCATTGCTGTTTATGTGGATGTTGGACTTTCAGTTTACAAGACACAAAATAATGTTTTATAGGGACACCACGGCAAACTGTGTTACAACTTTTGTATTAAGAGTTTTGTCTTGTGAGTCAGAGTTCAGTGGAATTATCTATTAAAAATTATTTATAAGTGAACATACTGGTATTCATCTGAAGAGTCCCTTGAAGGAACCCAGACTCTAGTAGGCTAAGGACACTGTCCCTCGTCCCTCTCTCTACAAAAGACTGTCCTCATTTGGATACTAGATTACACCTCCATTAAAACTGCTTCAGTCTGGAGGTCTTAGATTATATGTAAAATGGTTCATCTATGCCTTCATCCGCTGTCTTCAATTTAAGCATGTGTGTCTAAATGTGTGTGGCTGATTTTTAGTGATGTTATTTGAGAGAGATGGTGAGTTCCTTAGCATGTACAGTCTAATCTAATTCCCAGGGCTGAATCCACCTCAGAAGGACAGCACTGAGCCCCCTCTCTGGATCAATCTGGTATAAAAGGTCTACTGTTGGGGTTTGAATGGGGCTTTACCCCTCCGAAGACGCTAAAATCTGATTGCTCAGAGTAGGGCCAACTGGGACTTTTAGGAGGTTATCAGTCCTCTTTGCTCATGAACAGATCGATCACATGATTAGTAGCAATTAATGGTGCCTTAGTCTGCTTTCTTTTGCTGTAATAAAGACCCTGACCAGGAGCAACCTGGAGAGGAAAGGGCTTATTTGGCCCACATGCTCCACAGCCTTGCCTACAGGCAGAGACATTGTCTCAGTTGGAGTTCCTTATCCCAGATAACTGGAGTTTGCGTCAAGCTGACAAAAACCCTACCCAGGACAAATGGATTAACTGGTTCCCTCAAGAGTGGGTCATCGGCTCTAAAAGTCTGTCTTGCTAAGTCTCTCATGCGCCCTGCCTCTTGCCAGGACACTGCACTCACTGTCTTGGGACTCTGCCAGCAAGGTCATTATGAGATGTGGTCCCTCTATGTCGGAGAAGAATCAGGGCCTCGGTGAACTGCTTTGAAGCTTACACAGTCGGTGATAGTGCTATTGAAACAGAAAATTAGGAAGACAATGCTTTCCAGTCTGTGTCACTGATGTCACCCCCGCTGCTATGCTGGGACAAACGATGTCCCACCCCAAACCTGGAATGGCAGACTGGATGAACTAGAGGCCACCAGCACTGTTCCTAAACCTCTGCCTCCCTGCTCTTTCCTGAGTTAGTAATTCAGCCTTGGTAGCGTCAAGGAGGAAGGAGAAAAGCCATAAAAGCTTGTTTTTTACTAACCACATCTGTTAAGTCCCTGTCCTCTATATAATGGCCAACTTGAGCCCCCCTAAGGAACTGATCAGTTAGTAGTATACTGGTAAGCGGGCCACTGCCCGGGAAACCACCAGGAAGACAACAGTTTCAGTTTAAAACCGTTAGATAGAAAACTTGGAGATCCAAGTTCGAGAAGGAAGCTTGTCTCGTTAGCAAATGCTGCACTAGCTAGCTGCGACACACCCTGGATTGTGTTTGTTCAGTGGAGAGGCATTAGCCTTTGCCTGGTCTTTTCTCACTCAGTACTTATTGGCTGTGGTCCTCAGAAGCTAAAACAGGGAAGTTAGAACTTCCACTCCCAAGAATTCTCCATCTTGGCATATAGGACCAAAGTCCACCATTCAATTTATAAGCCAAGGAATTACCCTTTCTCTTATTAACCACTCTCTTTCATTACTGTTCTTTTGTGTGAAGAGACATCATGACTATGGCAACTCTTTGTTGTTGTCATTGTTGTTTTGATTTTTTGTTTTGTTTTGTTTTTGTTTTTGGAGACAGGGTTTCTCTGTGTAGCTTTGCGCCTTTCCTGGAACTCACTCTGTAGCCTAGGCTGGCCTCAAACTCGAAGAGATCCACCTGGCTCTGCCTCCCAAGTGCTGGGATTAAAGGTGTGCGCCACCACTGCCCAGTGGCCACTCTCATAGAAGAAAATATTTAATTGGGGCTTGCTTACAGTTTCATTATGATGGGGAGTATGGTGGCACTCATGGTACTGGAGCAATGGCTGAGAGCTACATCCTGATCTGAAGGCAAGAGAGAGAGAGATGGAGGAGGAGGGAGACAGAGATGGAAAGAGAGATGGAGAGAGGGAAAGAAGCAGAAAGTGTGGAGAGGGAGGGAGAAAGAGAGAAAGGCTAGACTTGGCCAGCTTGGGCTTTTGAAACCTCAAAGCCCACCCCCAGTGACACACTTCCTCCACCAAGACCACGCCTCCTATCTTTCTCAAATAGAGCCACTCCCTGATGTGGTGGTATTGTGTTCCCCGAAATATTGTGCACCCTAATAAACTTATCTGGGGTCAGAGACAGAACAGCCACAATATTAAACATAGAGGATAGGCAGTGGTAGCACACAACTTTAATCCCAGCATTTGGGAGACAGAGCTAGGCAGAAATCCATGTGTTCAAGGATACAGCCAAGCATGGTGACTCACGCCTTTAATCCCAGAAAGCCGAGCCTTTAATCCCAGGGAGTGATGGTAGAAGGCAGAAAGATATATAAAGTGTGAGGACCAGGAACTAGAAGCATTTGGCCTGGTTAAGCATTTGGCCTGATTAAACATTCAGGCTTTTGAGCAGCAGTTCAGCTGAGACCCATTCTGGATAAGGACTCAGAGGCCTCCAGTCTGAGGAAACAAGACCAGCTGAGGATCCGGCGAGGTGAGAAAGCTGTGGCTTGTTCTGGTTCTCTGATCTTCCAGTTCACCCCAATAACTGGCCTCAGGTTTGATTTTATTAATAAGAACTTTTAAGATTCATGCTACACCCTGATGACTACACATCCCAATATATGAGCCCACAGGGGCCACTCCTATTCAAACCACCACAGAGGCATTTTGGCATTATATAGCAAAGCTGAATGCATACAAACCGAAAACCAGCGTTTATATTCTGTAATATTTACCCAGCAGAAAATACATATACACGTATAGTCAGAACACATGTGCAGACATTTCTCAACGGTGTTGTTACAATGGCCAACAACCAGATACACATGATATCCATCAATAGAAGAACAGAAATAAAATGGGGTTTTCATACCATCAATTTCTATACAGAAGAAAAATAAACTATTGCTGCGTACAAATAGTAATTTTCTAAGATTTCATTCATGTAAAAGAGACAAATCTAACAGGGAAGAGCAATCCACAGGGCTAGGAGTTACAGTGGTGGTCCCTTGAGTACCATTCATTTGGTGCTGCCTTTTAAAAAGTGAGGATCATACAAATGTTGTATTGTGGTTTTCGCTTCACATTTTATTTGAGTATTTCCCATCATTAAATTGACCTCAATAATCTTAAAGATGGCTCTATATTTTATCCAAGGTTAGCTATTCTGTGACTAGGCTCAGTGTCCTTAGACATAAAATAAAACCATAAAAACATATTATAATTGACATTACAATTGTTTCAATTATAATCATCTAAGCATGAATACAAACAGATCGCTGTTGATTACCTTTCTGTGTATAGTCTTTAGTGCTGGATTCAAAGGTTCCTTGCTCGTGCTGATCCTGAAATTCCAAGATTGTCTAATAGGTGAAGGTAGTGACATTATTTCTCCACTTTCTTCAAACCAGTGTTTTCCCTATCAGAAATATGTACAGAATATAGTAATCGACTATTTCACTAAAAACAAATGTCATATGTTAGCTGCCACTGGTTTAACTCATTAGCTGGTACACTTGCCTCCTGCAGGCTGAGCAGGCGATGTTCCATTTTGTTGCAGATCTTTTTATATGTCTCTGGCTTTTTCTTAATGTACAATCCTTCGTCTTCTAAAATACGAGGCATCATGCCTTTTGGCAGTTTACGCCGGTTGGCCACTTAATGATAAAACTCAGATAATCATTTGAAAGTCCACAGTGGGATAACAAGTACACATAAGGTCAATATTTTTTACTGCTCCAACATGCACGTAAGTTACTGCGTATTTCAGGGGAGTGTGTTACCTGGAGAACTACTGGGCACAAAAATATTTGCCTCCTGCTTTTCCGTCTGTTCTTGATTGTCCTCATATTCTGCAGCTTTCACTTCAAATAAATCCATTAAAATTACTTCTTCCACAAAATCCTCATCTTGGCCCTCAGCAACATGTTGTAAACTACCACCAAATGCAGAGTGTTTGATGTAACTATCACTTACTGATTTCTGTTGAATATCAAAAATAAAAATCAGTCTGCATGTTTTTCCCCATAACCAGTATGCAGGTAAATGACACATTCTGGAGCCTTACTGTGGCCTTCCGATTCATCTAGCCCAGGTCCAGAGCTAGCTGAAACTATAATATCTATTGTTGGTAAAATAAGTTTTTCTGGCTATAGAGGAACTCATTTAAGGTTAATGTTATATATTTTTATAGCTCACTGTTCAATTCTCCAGTGACTGTTGCTGAAACAGAATAGTAACTTGGGCCTGTTCTGTCCTAGGAAAAAGATTCGGACACAGGATTGATATGGACTTACAGGGATACAAGACCTGTGTGGTCTTCAGACCTCCTCTGTTTCAGGATATTTGATTACACTGTGATACCCTGAGACTGTATTAATAAAATTAACCTTGAATCAGGGGGTGGAGCCAGTGACCAGCTGACCAGAATGAGCCACAGAGAAGCCAGGAATATGGATAGTGAAGACACACAGGAAGGAGTAGGGCGGGACTTAGTGATTTCTCATGAGATCTGGGAAGTGTGGAGAGAAGGTCAGCTGGTTGCTCCTCCACCACTTCTTTGATCTATCAGGTTTTCACCCCAATATCTGACTCCTGAGTCCTTATTGGTAATAGAACAACTTAGATAAACATATTTTGGCATCCAATGCATGGCATGAGATCACACTGTGGCTTCTGAAGCTGCCACTTCTCTCTGCCACTGCCCTTGCTCAGGTGGCTTCTCCTGCCACCCCCACGCCCTTCCTTGCTGTGGTCACTCTGTGTCAGTCCCCCAGGCCAACACACACCCACTGCTGCTGCTGCTGCCGCTAATCCTCTACACAGGCACACAGGACACTCCATCCCCACAGGCTTCTGCAGACACAGACCTAACCTCACTTTAAAAGATATGCTCAATAAAGCTTACATGCTAATGAGAAAGGAACAACAGCTGTGGAGAGACATTGGATGATAGAAACAATTATGGAATTAAATCAGCTTGTATATTTTAAAGATGTGTTGACCTCAGAATGGAAAACAGGGTATGTGTTACTTTGTGAAAAAAGTTTTGCTTATGTTTCCACAGAAGAAGAAAAGCTATGGATACCATCAAGACTGATAAAGATTAGAGTTGAACAGGAGAGGCCTCTTGATTAGGAGAGACGATAGTTCATCAAACAGCTTGGTCATTCAATCTAAACTAATGTATAAAACTAGCAAATGCCTTTCATTTGATCAGGTATGAAAAAAAGAAAAAGAAAAAATTTATTAATAAAAGATAGTACTTTTTCTGTTGCCAAAAATCATTTTTCATTAACAAAAATATAACCAGCCAAAGAGGGAACTTCCCAAAAGTAGGGTTGGGGCAGGGTTTTGTTTCTGTCTTCCCAGGAGAATAAAAGCATCCAACTAAGGAATCTAAAGACCGCTGGACAGATGAGAAAGTGTAAGAGGAAGGACGAGTCAAGAGAAAACGCCCTAAGAAAGAGAGTAAGTTGGCCTAATGGTACAACGCGCCTCCAACAGGGTAGAATTTCACAACTCTTCCCGGATGCTTGTTTTTGCTGCTCTGTACAAACATAAAAGGCAAATGGTCTTTTGTAGTCCCAATTCAATTAAAAATTAAAGCTGGCTTTGGAGTTGGATCATGGCTTTCTCCTCTAAACCCAAGCATGCTTGTTAAAGAAAAATCCAAAATCTCTGTCTCATGTCAGAAGAGCCACATGGCATGGGACAGAAGAAAAATCAAACTTAAGGGACGAGTCTACTGCCACTAATCTCATCATCTTTGAGTTTCCATTTGATCCTTTAAAACTTTTCTTAAGGTATAAATATTATCTCAAAATTTTTAAGATTTTATATATATAAAGCACATATAAATAATATATATATAAAATCTGTTGTGATATTGGTGGTCATATAGAATACTAATTAATTCTAGAAATAAGCTTCATCTAACTTCTTGTACATGTTTTCGGGCTTGAGAATGAAGCAGGTAACTAGAAATTAAGTTTGTATACCCCAGAGGTATTTAATAGGTTGTGGGCCTTTAACCTCTCAGAGATCTGCTGCATATGACACTTAAAATGTTTAAGTTTTCTGCAGTGAACCGTGACCATTCCTGGCAGTGACCTTTGAGGTCTTGAAGAAGATGATGGGGCCCTACAATGACAAATCCACCCAGACTCTGTTAACACCATTAAGCAAACAAACACCACCCAAATATCAGCTTTAAACTACAAACTGCTCAGGACAATTTCAAAGTGGTTAGCTAAGATGGTCCAGCCTCATAGACGACTCCAGCCAGAGCTTCAGATAAGTTTTGCACTTTCCCATCACACTGAAACTGGACAACAGCTCTCCCAGGACTTGAACATTATCTCAATTTTCTCAGGATCCCCTAAAGATGCCATCACACTCAGACAGCAGGAAGTAATTTTAAGAACATGATGTCCACATTCCCAAGAAGTGGGGGTGGATGGTTTTTGGACATTCAGTGGGCCCTGGATGTTTATCATCATTTGGAGGGTTTGGTTGCATGTTACTGGTCATGGTCAGGGGGAAAAAAACTAAGAAAAGGAAGTTAGATTCAGGAATCTCTTTCTGAAAAAAGTGGGGGGAGGGGGGCTAGATATAGAAATGATAGGATAAAAGAGTAGATTATTGAATCTACTTTTAAACTACAAAACAACTATTAATCTCAAATATTTTACATTGGTATGGACTTTTGTATACTCATACAAAATTTAAGATTAGTTTTGTTATAACATACTGTATATATGTTTCTACTCTTGTTTAAGGCATTGTACTTATGCAGCTCATTTAAAATTATAAAGTTCTAGTCCTTGAAAGCTACTATTACAGACTGTTTAGAATAATTAAGATAACAATCAAACTTGTAGTAAGGGTTTAGATGTAGACAGAAATACTCTTCATTTAGTCTCACATATTTTAGATGAATAGGTGGTCTTCAAACACTTCAGAGATCTGGTGCTGTGGGATGTTCTGCATGGTATGAATGTGTTGCTCTGATTGGCTGATAAATAAAATGCTGACTGGCCAGTAGCCAGGCAGGAAGTATAGGCGGGATAAACAGACAAGGAGAATTCTGGGAAGTGGAAGGCTGAGTCAGGAGATGCCAGCATGCCGTCCAGGGAGCAGCATGTAATGGCATGCAGGTAAAGTCACAGAACATGTGGTAACATATAGAGTAATGAAAATGGACTGAGTTTAAGTGTAAGAGCTAGTCGGTAGTTAGCCTGAGCTAATGGCCATGTAGTTTTAATTAATATAAGCCTCTGTGTGTTTACTTGGGTCTGAGAGGCTGTGGACCAGGTGGGACACCAGAAAACTTCAACTACAAATTCCAATTACAATCTACAGAATATGGCATTTAAGATGTTAATAACCTAAGGCTTTTCATGACAGTGAGATACGCTTGCTCCTGGCAGCACCAATCTACTTCAGAGATGATGGGCATCGAAGAACCTCCATATTGAGTTTGCTTTCATTGTGACAAAACCACTCGGCAAGAAATTTCCCTTGCCTCAACTGTGACAGTATTCTGTCCAATTTGGACAAGCAGAACACAAAAGAAGGTGACTGATGAACTTTTGCTAAGACAAGGTAGGACAGTTGTTCAAAATTCCTGCTTCACAGAAAAGTCTGTAGATATTCTGGGGTCTGTAAGCCAAAGATAGATGCCCCAACATTGCAGAGGAAACTTAGGTGACTGTCCAGGCAGCCAGCTGTCTCTTGTCATTTCTATAGTTTTGGAAGTTATTTGCTATGTACTCCTGTTTACTCAGGTAATATTTTATCCTTCTCGGGTCTCTGATGGGGGTTGAAGACTAGATAGTTATACTGTCTTCTTTGTTACCGAATTCAGAAAAGAAACTTACAAAAAAAGATGTGAAGTTTATAAAGGTTGAGTTCAGGGT